TGACTACTTTCCAAGGGGCATTGGAAGCAAGGTCTCATAATCTCACAGTCACCATGTCTCTCTGACATGGCTGTGATTCTGTAAATTGCTCACCGGAGGACATGAAAGCGACATTGTCCCATAAGGTACTGGTCAGGTAATTTTGAATACTTAGATTTCCTTTTCCACTATTGGTCATTTCATCCTTTGCTCCAATGTTATATAAGAATAAAAAATGATACAGTCATCAATCAGCTGTTTTTGTTGACAGCATCAGCACAGTCATGTTCTTTTCTAAAAAATCTAATGCAGTGTTTTTGAATGGTTGGTAGTTCGTGAGGGATTAAAATATTTATAAACTGAAACATGGGTATGCATCCAATATAAAATTTCTATCTTCATTAAACACTTTATCATAACCTGTCTTGCATCAGAATGAGTCTAGGAAGGTCTCCTCACTGGGGCATTACCTACCGGAGAGCAGCGACATTGTCTTGGCACCTTTATGCCCTCTTTGAAGTGTCAAGAACAGGTTCTAAAAAAGGCCTTACATATTTTCAAGTTAAATTTAAGCCCAAATAAATTTCCCTTGTTTAGTAATTACATACAAACCTATATTTTGATTATATTATTGAGTACATTTTGGTTAATTTCCTTACTTTCCTGATTCTATATATTTAAAGAAATAATGGGGACGTAGGAAGTAAAATTGCCAGGCATCTGATCAAAGCTGCTGGAATGCTCTATACCGCCATCTAGTGGGAGGAGAAGCTCCATGGCCATCTAGTTCTTTGGAGAAATAGAACGTGTGTTTAGAACATCAGAAGCTACGGGATCGGGATCCTACTCCAGAGGATGAGAGGCAGACCCCGTGGAGAATATGTGTTTTTCTCTCATTAATCACGGGATGCGTCAGGTGCTTACCTCTTTGAGCTTGTTATAATAGCAGAGGAAGCCCTCTTTGTGGTTTTGCGAGCAAGCACATCTTGAGAAACTCTGAGTGGTGCTATTGGCTGTGGTTCTATTTGTGGAGTAGTAATTTAGGGATATTCCCACTGGAACAATGCAGTTTTCCGAGGAGAGAAGTCGTGGTTTTCTTAGGGTAAGTGCTACACGCATGCACATACGTGCACACACACACACGTGCACACACACACACATACACACACTGCATTGGTTTTTCCCCTTCTTCCTGTCCTCTCCCTTGGCTGCTTCCTCTGTAGCCTACTGTCTGTGACTCAAGAGAGACTCTTTAAGACAAAGCTGCACTTGGCCTGTAAGAGGGGACCCCAGACAGCCTCTGGTGATGACTACTGAGATTTTTCATCCAAGTTGACTGTTCATAGACAGGACTGATGGTCCAAGCTCCAATGCCTCTACATTTCTTCTCTCTTCAGTTTACTTTCATTTCTTTGATATTTTTCTCCTCTCATCTCTGCCTTGTCAGTTCTCTGAGCAAAGCATGTTAGTTCGTTGTGGCTTCTTTTTCTTCCCCAAACACATGCCAACACACCCTGTAGATGGACACAATTGAGGACTCTGGCCTAGATCTTTGGTGGAAAGTGGTTCTTGAGGAAAGCAGGGAAAACACGTTAAAGTCAAACACTGAGAGAATCCCAGGGCCAGTCTGACTGCTAGATTAGGCTGGCACGGGGCCATGTGGCATAAGTGGAAGGAAGAGGCATGTCTCTCTACCATTTGTCCATTTTGTAATAGCTCTCCAGCTGGTGCCTGAAACTCCTATATAAGCATAAAAAGATCATGATTTCCAAACCAGAAATTTGGACTCGTGTCTGATGAATTATCAGAAAAATAGGGCAGAGCTATTCAGCCAAAGCTAGGATGAGTGATCATTAGGAGATTTCATCTTATTCCAGCTGAGATCAAAGACACAGGCTGCTTGCTTGGCAAATAATCAAGAAGGATTCTGGGGCCACATCTGGGTTTAATAGAGGGACACAGGGACATGCAGTTGTTTCTCAGTAGCCACAGGGGACTGGTCTCAGGATACCAAAATACAGATGCTCATTTCTCTTACATGTAATAGTATAGAACCCATGTATATCCATCTGTATACTTTAAATCACCTCTAGACTATTTATAATAACCTGAATGCTATACAAGTAGTTGTTATACTGTATTGTTCAGTGAACAGTGACAAGGAAAAGAAGTCTGTACAAGTTTAGTACAGACAGTTTCTTGAGAATATGTTTGATCAATGGTTATTTGAATTCACAGATGCGGAACCCATGGTTGCAGAGGCAGTAATATTAGGAAGGTCCAAGACAGTCAGAGATGGGCAAGTGGAAACTTTGCAACATTGACTTTATACTCAGATGGTTTCTTAGAGGGCCAATGATGAAATAGTAGTAGCTGCTGATGTCTTGGCATGAACTAAGTTATTTGGTTTGCTGCCCATCACATGGCTCTAAGAGAACAGAGTCACGGGACAGGTTATTTTTCAAATGACTTATTTTTATTGAGCTAAAATTCATATAACAAAAAAATTCACCACATTCACCATTTTAAAGTGCACACTTTAGTGGTTTTTAGTACGTTCTTAATGTTGTGCAACCAGCATCACTCTCTAATTCCAGATCTTTTTCATCACCCCCAAAGAAACCCTGTGCCCATTAAACACATGTTCCCAATTCTTCCCTTCCCTCAGATCCTGGCAAGCACTAATCTATTTCTTGTCTCCACGAATTTGTCTATTCTGGATATTTCCTGTAAATATGTGGTTGTTTTATGTCTGGTTTGTTTTACTGAGCATGTTTGCAAGGTTCATTTATGGTGTGGCATGAATCAGTACTTATTTATTTTTTATGGTTGTATACTATTCCACTGTATACATTTTGTTTAGGCACACTTCATTTGATGAACATTTGGGTTGTTACCATATTTAGCTATTATGGATATGCTATTTGAGTATTCAATTAAAAGTTTTTGCTTGAACACTTGATTTTAGTCTCCTTCAGTGGATAAGTAAGGCTTTTTTTTGCCTTTGGTAAAGACAGATCCATTTGAAACTGTTTGATATGTTAATTTTGTTAAAAACAAAAGAGCAGCATTTGGATGTTGCTAGATGAAGCCTGGTATGTATAAACAGATGGGCTGAACGAGGGTCCTAAATGGTTCTGGATTGGGTTATTTTATCAGGGTGTTTTAATGGATGCCATTTGGGCAGAAAAAAAGGAAAGTCACTTAGTTGGATATAAAGCAAGGCGTTAAAATAGGTAAAACACATTTTAGCACAATTAAGAAAGGGACTTACTTATTACAAGAATGCTACTTGCTGTTTATCTCTATTACAGCACCTTCATATCTACAAACTCATTAGGATGAAGCAATCAGGCAGAGCAGTTACCATTTGCTGGCATTTGAGAAGCAAGAATGTCCAAGGACCTAGCACATCACTTGGTGACAGTATTTGCTAAATGAATGAAGCAGAGTCATATCTAATCAATGTCAGAGCTGGGAGAGTCTTTGAGATTATCCCTAGGTCAGTGATGGTGAACATTTTAGAGACTGCCTGCCCAAACTGCAACCCTAAACCCACTTATTTGTCACAAGGTGCCAAAACTACAATTAAACCTGAATATTGAGGTTTTAGTTTGGAAAAAACAACTGTTAACCAATGTCCCGCTGCTGGGTTGACTTGGCTCATGTGCCAACATAGAAGGCTTTGTGTGCCCACTGCAGCACATGGGCCATAGGTTCACCGCCACTGCTGTGGGCCTTCTTCCCTAGCCACTTTCACAGCAGGAATGTCAGAGCTCAGTAGGAAAGTCCTGGGCTTAAATTCAAGGTCAATTGGGTGGTAAACGAAAGACCCAAGTCTGTCCCTTGTACCCACAGGGAATGTCACAATATCAATGACATTGCTTTGTGGTAATATGTACTCTTGGCTGTTTGTACCACTGTACCATAAGCTCCTGGGAACAGAGCTCCTGGGAATGGAGCTTATGTCTGAGTCATCATTGACTCCCCAAGGTGCAGTGCAGTGACTGAAACTTGTTGAATGGGTGAACAGGAGCCAGAAGGTCTCTGTTCTTCCTGGATCTCCACTCCTTCTCCGTGGCGCAGCTTCTAATGGCAGATGTACAGCTTAACCATAGTCTCCAGGCCCCAGGGACCTTTCCCCTACACTCCAATATTTATATCTGTCAAGATAAGTGACATTAAATGTATCTGGAAGTTTTTTTTTTTTTTTGACTTGTCAGTTCCCCTGGAATGATTTCCAGTCTATTTTATTATGGAAGTGTTTAGGAGACAAGGGAAATTTGTTTTCTTATTTCAAAACCTAAGACCAGTATAGCCACCTTACATAGAGTCTCATATATTTTGTGCACAAGTAAGTTCCTGCCTTTGCTATGTTGTCCAGGTCCTGGGTATAGGCAGTCTTTCCTTGAGGATTGTACTTCATAATATGGGACTTGACAACATGGAGGCAGGAAGAAGCAATGGGATTTTCAAGAAGGTCTAAAACAAAAAGTTCTCTGTTCTTCCTGGACCCTTTATCTACTTTGCTATGGTCCTCAACACATACTGTGGAAACAGTCTCATCTTGGGCTTTCCCAAACTTCAGAACTAGCTATGGAATGTTGTCAGGGGGTGGGCTGTTAAAGTCATCCTGGGAGATCTTCCCCCAAGAGATGGAAGCCAGGGACTATTTCTCGAATAGTCTCCAAGGGTCACATCAAAAAGAATGATAGGTGACAATGGGACAGAGCCTTACAAATAAATCTTAAGTTTCTGTCTTGTCTCAAGTCATTCTGTTTTATTATAGTTCATATTATAGTTTAGACAGGCCAGAATGTCTCTTTTATTCCCCCAGATGAGATGTGAGATTGGAATAGATCTCTCTCTCTCTCTCTCTCTCTCTCTCTCTCTCTCTCTCTCTCTCTCCCCCTCTCCCTTTCCCTCTGTCTCCCCTCCTTCCTTTCTCCTCCCTGGCTCCCTCCTTTTCTTTTTTTCTCTCTCCCTGTGCCCACCCACACACATACAGCCTGAACACTCACCTGCACCAGGTCTGGTGTGAGGCGCTTGGCTTGCAGCCATTTCTGGAATCTTTCTGTTTTCTTCAGGACACGCTCAATGCTGCAGGTCTTTGGGGCCGATATGGAGGCACAGATTCTCCTGTCTGAGACCTCATTTTGGTATCTGCTGATTAGGCTAAAGATCTCCACAGGGCGCCAGGTTTTAGAATCATCTGAGTAATTTGCAGGGTAAGAAGGCAAGGAGTGAGAAGGCAGTTCAAGATTGGAAACCAGCGAGTTGTCAAACCTGTTGGAAGAATAGTCCTTTTAAGATTGAGGCCAGCAGGGGTGGGAGAGAGGGAACAATGGCCCACCTGATCCATTTCTCTTACAGTATTGCAAACTCATCTTATGAGAGGACTCTTCATTTCCTCAAACTCCAAGAAGTATTTATGTGATGTCAGAAAAGGTGAGGGAGGTATGAGTGAGACAGAAATTATTCTCTTCACTCAACTGGCTGTTGAAGGGCTAGCTACAGCTGCCTACATTTCTATTCTATGTGCAGGTAGTAACTTTACACTGACTCTTTTGATTCTTGCCATATCCTAGGCCTCCCTTTACAGGTTTGGGAATCGAAGCTCATAGAGCTTGAGCCCTTTGCCAAAGGTCAGATAGTATGTTGCAGGGGTACAAACCCCAGCTTGTCTGTCAGTAAACTCCACTGTCTTTCTGTTCCCTTCTCCTGGTTCCCCAAACCACCTACTCTCTGACCAATGCCTAGGTCTTGGAACCACTGTTCTCGAAGAGGCTCTTGGGCCTGTACTGGGGAGATCAATGTCCCTCCATATCCAACTTGAAGCAGCACCTTCAATTTTTCTTTCAGTCCAAAGATTTAGGTCATCAATACCAACCAAGTCTCAGAAAACTGTGGCTGCTAAATAGTCATCACAACTGGAAGCTGTTTGGGCTCCAGGAGCTATGCAATTGTACACAGTGCCCTCATCAGTTTTTAATCTTCCTCAGAGGAGAGGCACAGCCTTATTTTTCTTTTTTTTGGTCTTTTTCCTTTTTATCGGTACCGGAGATCGAACTCACGACTGCCTGCTTGCAAGGCAGGCACTTATGCCGCTGAGCTAAATCCCCAGCCCCAGAGGCACAGCCTTATTATCATTTGCCAATTTCCTCAGCCTTGTGATTACCTTTTCCCCCCACTTATTTCTCCAACTGTGTGCTGGCATTTCCATTAGAGTAGAATTTCAAATCTCCTTTTGATTTATGTATGAAAAACTACCCAAACTGGGTATATTGGTGTATACCGTAATTCTAGCACTTGGGAGGCTGAGGCAGGAGGATTGCTGTGAGTTCAAGGCCAGGCTGGGTTACAAAGTGAGTTCAATGCCAGCCTGAACTGGTGAGACCCTGTCTCAGAAAAGAAAAACAAAAACAAAACTACCCAGAAAAAGTTTACCATAATTATTATTATCAATTGACGGTCATACAGCAAGTGAAAATCGGGCTATAATACATTAGTGTAATTTAAATAAGAATCATTAGATTCTTACTATTGGGTATTGTTGAGTAACCCCATGATAATGAGATTTGGGTAATATGTTTTGGAAGAGATTGTTTTATTTTCTCACTTACGTGATGCAGCCTCATCTAAAAGACTGCAAGCTTTTCCTATTATTTGATGGCAAAGAAAGCCACACAAAAAACTCATAAGGGCAAAAGGGTCATGGAGCTTGTCCAAGGAGCTGGAATGTGCAGGCATCTGAATTCCTGGAGAATGTACGAGTGCTCTAGACCTCTCAGATTTGGGAAGATGGGCAACCAACAAAAATGGTCAGGAAGCAACTTTGACAGTGCAAATCATAATGAAAGTAGACACCTAGAATTCCGTTCAAGAAGATTGCCACAAGAATATTTAAGAAGATGAAACACTGTAAATTTGTGATGATGTTTACTAGAAGTTTTGGGACAATCATGGGAAATGATCCATCCCACTGGGAGAATCAACTAGGGCCCAAGTCCGCAAGGCGGGCCTGTCTGCCTGTGTTCTGCAGCTGCTCTTATTCATGGACTTTCAACCCTACTAAAGGTTCTGGGTATAAGTATTTACAACTGGTTGGCTCTTTCAGTTAATGATAATAGTAATACACATTTCTGAAGTACTTAAACATGCCAGTCACTTTGCTAAGCACTTTGTGTGTGTTAATTTAATTCTTTCAATAAACTTATCAGGCTTTATACTATTATTAACTATACATATAAAGAAACTGTGCAGAAGAATGTCAGTGAAAAAAAATGAGTCCTGCTTCTTATTCACTAAATTGTTAATATCCTGGAATTTGGAAAATCACAAAACAAGGCAGCTTCCTAATTTTTCTTCTGAATCGAGACTATGGGCATAATTGATGTGAGGCTGGGAAGGCTCCTCACTGGGCTACAAGATGGACAAGCAGAGTGAGCCATGGTGGTGCATACGTATAATCCTAGCACTCTGTGAAGCAGAGGCAGGAGGATCACATGTTCAAGTCCAGCCTCAACAATTTAGAGACTTAACAAGCCTTTTCTCAAAATTTAAAAAGGCGGGGGGGGGCGGGTTGCTGGGAAAAATGCTCAATTTAGAACAGAAGAAATGCAAATGAAAATATTGCAATGCTAAATATTTGCAATAGTGAAGTAAACTTTACACACACACACACACACACACATTCACGCTATATTTTTGAACCAGAAATCCTACTTATAGGAGTTTTTCACATGAAGTTAATCAAGGATATGCACAAAAATCTCACCACAGAAATGTTTAACACAACACGTTATAATATTGAATTAGAGGAGGAAGAGGAGAGTGAAGAGGAAAGGGGGGGTTAAATAAAAGAAGCAAGTTGTGCTACATACATGTACTCACTCCCTGAGATGATTGTAAACTGCAGGTACCACAAACGTACTAATAAAAAATATTTTATAATACTGTAAAAAAATCCTAGATCATCTTATGGTAGTGAATTAGTTAAATAAATTAAGGCTAATTGATGTAGTTGAATGTCACAAAAGTATTAAGGATTCAATTGTGAAGAATATTTAAGCATATGGAGAGATGTTCCTATTATATTTTTAAAAAAGTTTCCAAAATAGTAAATACAATAGTAAATACAATGAACTTTTGTTGTAAATATTTCTTAATTCATATTTAGAATAAAGGTGGTAAAGGCTGACCAGCAAAATGTTTGCTTTAAGACCGCTCTCTTGTGGGAGGAATTATACATGATTTTTATTTTGTATTACCCTTAGTAAACATTCTTTGATAATTCTAAAATAAACAAGTGCTACTTTTCTAGTAAGAAAAAGTTACTTATAATGCAGAGAGAAGGATTATAAAGAAGTCTGCCTCTTCAGTTGTACTCACTGTCTCTGGTTTTTGTTTGTTTTTTGGGACACAGTCGCACTATTTAGTTCAGGCTGGCCTTGCACTCAGAGATCTTTCTGCCGCAGGCTCCCAAGTGCTGAGATCACAGGTGTGCAACACCGTGCCTGGCTTCTCTCTTCCTCTCTTCACCGAGGATGAACGTTCTGTGTGGAGAGCTATAGCCCTGCCCCTGCCTCGCCTGGTGTTTTCCTGTGTGTACCCTTTCCTTTCAGGCACACATGGAAAATAAATTCCAAGGGAGATGAAGTAATATCCTGAACGCCAATAGAGTATAAAGATATTTAGGAAAATGCTTTCTGAGTTTGGCCAGTACCTGCCTGGGGGGAAAATGCCTTGCTTATGACACTTGATAAATAAGCAGGAAGGGAACTGAGAATGCTTCTTCAAGTGAGTCTCTTACTTCCCCTTCCATCTTAAACTGTCTTAAGATATATTCATGTGATCATTGCCTCCTTCCTTGGAGGAGTCAGCACCAGTTCACCTGTGTTCTTGGTCTTCTTCATCCCCTTTTCTAGCTGGGAAACCTGAAGTTCACATTAACACTACCATCTTCACTTCATCTCACATCCAGTCAGTCAACAAAGTGACTGTATAGTCCAACCTGTGTGCTTCCCGCCCCTCTTTGGCCCCACGACCTGTCTTCCAAACCTATGAGAACGGGTCTCACAAGCCCTGTCAGCAACTCCAGTCCATCCTGAGCACTGGTTTCCCCGTCCCAGCTTACCACCATCAGCATTGCCCACGATGCCTTTGCCCTGATCAAGCCTCTTTTGACATTTAAAAAGGCTTAATAGGAAATGTTCATATAAACTCCCTAAAATATCTGTGATCTCTCAAAAGAAGTTCAGCATTTCCCATGAGTACTTTCTATTTATGGTTTCTGATTCCTAACTTAGTTGTTGAATAATCAAAGATGTCTTTGGATAATACAGATTGGTAATAAAATAATTGTTTATACTTTTTGTTTTGTTACTGAATCTTAAAAGCTTGATAGGGCCTTGAGGCTGGCCAGAGGAGAAGGAGCGTGGGACAAAGGGTCTTTAGTACTGGTTAAAGTCTTGATCCTTGGTACAGCATTCAAGGCTCCCTGGCCCATGTATCACACCTGCTTCCCTGCCATGCCAGTCATGAAGCATCTCTCAAGGCCTCCTACACCTCTGGGTTTTTCCTTCAGCTATTTCTGCTGCCTCAAGCCCTTCCCTCCCACAAAATGTCAGCTCAGTTTTCGAGACCTTGCTCCAAATTCTTCCCCTTGGAGAGGCCCTTTCACCATCTACATTTTGAGTTCAGGTCCCCTCTTTGGAGCTCCTTACTTTGGTCTGCATCAGACCAAGCCTATTATTTTTTTTATAACATGGCTCCCTCCTTAATCACCCCCATCTCCCATGGAGTACAAAGACCAGTTATAGTGGCTGTTACCCCAGTGCCTTCTGGGCCCTGGCCTTGGTTAAATCTCCTTGACTGTGTCCAAATCAGTTTGAATTCCAGAGAGTAATACGATTCTTTGCTGAGAGCCATGTGTGTCACAAACACTTTCATTTTCCTCTGATCCTGGTAACATCTCTCAACCATTAAGGGGCTCTGAAACTTTGGAGCAAACTGCTCCAGTTTGAATTCTAGATCTGCCCTTGACCAAGTCACTTAATCTTGCTATGTCATGGTTTGTCAACTGAATGACAGGTGTAAACTGTTAACACCAGGATGGTTTCAAATGGCTACACACAGTAGGCTTTCTATAAATTTTATTGCCTCCCTTTCGACAAATAAACTTGGAAAATACAATAGCTCCAGGCTGCGCCATTCATAGTAAAAGAAAATGTCAAACTTTCATTTCAAAAGGAACCTTTGCATTTAGCATTTAGGGCTGGAGTTTGGCTTTAGCCCCTGCCCTCCTACCCACTTCAACCATTACTGCCACCAAGAAATGGTTTCGATTCAGCTCCCACCCATAAATTACATCCTGACCCATTTTTAACAAACCCCTGGACATCTTCAATGAAGAGAACAGAATTTTGCCCCTTAGAGTTATTTGATTGAGATTCTGACCTTATTTCTTCTTTAAAGAACTTCTTGCAAATAGATGTCCCAATGCAGGCATTGCATTTATCAAGACCGAGGAAGGTCCGTCCCAAATTGTTGCTGCTTCTGACTTGGGGCACCAGAGAAGGAGGGGGAACAGCTGGAGAGGAGAGACAGCTCAGTGCTGAGAGCCCCAGCAGCAGTAGGGCCGGCCAATGTGGGCGGAGAGCAGCGGCCTCAGGCCCCAGCCTGGGATCCATCCCGGGCTCAGGACTGCGCTTTCAGTTTCCACGCAGGGCTGCGCGGGGGCTCAGATGGAAAGAAGGCCTCAGAGCAGCAGGCTGGGCTTTAGGGTGTTGGCCTCATCCCAACCTTCCAGGTTTCTGTTTGGGGATGCTGATCTGCTCAGGGCTAATGAGGCTAGGGAGGAGGTGAGGAAGTTCTTGGAGGATGCTGATAATGTGTTTCCAGAGTCACTCTTCCTCTGCCTGGGCGGTTACCTCTGCTCAGGGGCAGCTCACTGACAGATTTCGGAAAGGACAATGACCACAACTTCCCCGTGTGGTTCTCTTGACAAACACAGGATATCCCAGCTGGGCAGGAAAGGTCCAGGCAGGATGTGTGCTCGACCTAGGTTCCACCTGGGAGTTTCAAAGTATCCTGAAGGCCTCCGCCCTCCACTGTTTTCAGTCTGGTTATATCTGTCCCTACAGAACACACACACACACACACACACACACACACACACACACACCCCTGCCCCCTTTCTGCCATACTTTCCCCCATTTTACCATATTCAGCTATGAAATAACTACTGGTTAATTTGCTGGCTGGTAAGTGCACATTTAACATTGATTTGAAAGCACAAAGCTTTTTAGTGCTCAGGGAATAGAGAACCTTGGGGTCACCCATTTTCTCTTGCTGATCTGAGGCCAAGAGAGAGGCAACAACCTGGTGGCCTCTATAGAGTGATGAAGAGAGCACCAGAAAGAGCCTCTTGCCTGTGCCCAACTGTGTTGGTCTCTCTTCCCAAGGCCTGAGCATCCCTCTTTTCTTTTCACCCTGCCTCACATCTCAGCAGCTGGCCCGATTTGAAAAGACTGAACTGCCCCACGATTTCTTTCCTCTGGATACCGAGAGAAGGGAGACAGTGTAGAGTAGGTGCAAGCACTAATTTTGGAATAGAGAGAACCTATGAAGACTAAATCAGGGAAGGCAGTTTGTCTTACTTTCTGCGGGAGGCTGGGGCCAGGTTGCTTGGCCAGTGTGAGAATATTAGAGTACATGAGAAAGTGGGGCTGGGAGAAGCTAAGAGGGAATGGGAATGGCCTCAGGAGAAGTAGAGTTTTGGTAAATCTTTGTGGGGAGAACAGGGTGAAATAGTAGTCTGATGATTAAGCGTGTGCTTATTAGCCATCTGGATATTTTCCTTGGCAGAATGTCTGGTCACATTTGTTTTTTGTTGTTGGTTTTTTTTTTGTACAGTCTGGATCCTAGGCCTTTGTTGGCAATGTGATGTTATAGTTTGGATCTGGACTGTTCTCCAAAGATCTATGTATTGAAGGCTTGCTTCCCAGCCCATGATGCTTTCGGAAGGTGGGGGAAGCTAAAAGGTGGAGCTTAGTGGCAGGTGTTTAGGTCGCTGGAAGCTTATCCTTAGAGGGAATTGTGGGAACACCAGTCTTTTGCTCTTCTTCTTTCTGTTTTTTTTCCCCCTAATATGTACTTTTGCTCCGTCACATATTTCACCATGATGTGGGCCAGCTGACTGAAATTTCCAAAGCTGTGAGCCAAAATAACCATTTTCTCTTTATATGTTGTTTATCTCAGTAACAGGAAGCTGATTAATGCATATTCCTTACAGGTATCTTGTCCCAGACAGAAACTTGTCTTTCATCCTCTTAACAGATACTTTTTCTTTTTTGGTACCAGGGCTCAAACTCACAACCTCATACTTGCCAAGTGGGTGCTTATGCCACTGAGCTAAACCATCAGCCCTAACAGATACTTTTGCAGGGCAAAAGTTAAGAATTTTGTGGAAGTCCAATTTATTAAGTTTTCCTTTATGGATTATGCTTTTGGTTTCAAGTGTGATCAAAGGAAAGCTTAAACACTTTTAGATTTTAAAGAGTTTGAGTATTAAGCAATTCATAAATCAAGGCGACACCAGATCCCAAAAGGCAAGCACTTTCCTGAGAGAGACAAAGGGGAAATCTATTATTTTATAAAGTGTTTGCAGAAGCAAGAAAAAAACCATAATTTCGATTAGAGTGGGAAGTCTTTAGTTAGAGCTTAGTTGATTGTTTCTGATTTGCTTAGTTTCTAATTTCAATTTACCATTTACACTGGGTTTTGGCTTATTCATATAGCAGTTTTATTTATTTAATCATTCATTTTCATTCATTCATCCATTCAGTGTTGGGAATTGAACCTGGGACTTCACAAATGCTAAGCAAGTGCTCTACCACTGAACTACCTTCTCTGTCCTGTGTAGTAATTTAAAGTACCAGAACTACCCCTAATGGCTTCCCACTTGTGTTTTTTATAAGAAATGCAAGAACTTTGAATAGCCCTACATCCTAAAGATTTTATTTTATGATTTCTTATGAAAGTTTCATAGTTTTACATTTCATATTTAATCCTATGATTTGTTTTGAGCTAATTTTTTGTGTCAAGTATGAGATTAAATCAAGGTTCTGGTTTTTGCTGCTGAATGTCCAATTGCTCCTAAATCATTTGCTGAAAAGATTATCCATCTTCTATTGATATGGTTTTGCAATTTTGTCAAAAATGAGTTATCTGTTGTTGTATGTGGGTATTTTTGGCTTTCTCTATTCTAGCCCATTGATCTATGTATCTATTCCTCTTTCAGTGCCACATATTTAATCTTAATTACCATAGCTATATATCTTGAAATTGAATAGTGACACCGCCCACTTTCTTTTCCAAAATTATGTTAGCTCTTCTAGTTTGTCTTTCCTTATAGACTTTAGAATAATCTTGTCTTTATTTACAAAAAATGCTCCCAGAGATTTTGATAGGATTTAGTTTAAATCTATGTAGTTTTTCTTGGGAGAACTGATCTCTTTAAGTCTTCAAATCCATGAACACTGTATATCTCTCAACTTAGAGCTTCTTTGAGTTTTAAAAAATTGGTGTTTTGCGTATTTCTGCATTTAAGTCCTATATATAAATGGCATTATATTTAAAATTTTTATTTGTGTATTTATTTATTTCTTTATTCGAGACAGAGTTTTTCTGTGTAGTGCAGGCTGGCCTTGAACTTGCTTATGCAGCCCAGGCTAGCCTTGAACTCATGGCAATCCTCCTGCCTTAGGCTCCTGAGTGCTGGGATTATAGGCATGTGCCACCACATACAGCTCTATTTATTTAAACTGACAACATTGTATATATTGATTGAGTTTGACATGTTTTAAAATAAATATATATTGACAAATAGCTAAATTAAGGTAATTAATATATGCATTACTCCACATACTTGTCCATTGTGGTGAGAACACTTAAAATCTACTTTCTTAAAATTTCCAAGAATATAATACACTGTCATCAACTATAGTCATCATGTCGTACATCTCTTGAATTTATTCCTGTTCTCTAACTGAAAATTTGTATTATTTGACTGACATCTTTCCAACTCCCCCTGCCAATACATACCCGTGACAACTACCTTCTATTGTTTGCTTCAAGTTTTTAAGATTCTACATATAAGTAGACATATAAGTAGCGATTTTGTGCCTGGCTTATTTAACTTAGGGTAGTATCTTCCAGTTTTATTCATGTTGTCACAAATGTTGTTAGTCTTTTTTAAAGTTTGAGTATTATTTCCTTTATACATTCATTGGTCAATGAATACTTAGTGAATACTTAGGGTATTTCCACATCTTGTTTATGTGGATAATACTGCAGTAAACGTAAGAGTGCAGATGTCTCTTTGACATATTGACTGATTTCATTTCTTTCACATATACACACAGAAGTGGGACTATTCAGTCATATGGTGGTTCTAGTTTTTATTTTTGAGGAACTTCTATAATGTTTTCCATAATGTCATATTCCTACTAACAGTGTGCAGGGATTTTCTCTGCATTTTTTGCTTTTTTGATAAGAGTTATCCTAACAGGTTTAAAGTAATCTCACGTAGTTTTAATTTGCATTCATTGATGATTGGTGGTGTTGAGCATTTTTCATATATCTGTTGGTCATTTGCGTATTTTTTTTTTTTGGAAATGTCTATTTTAAATTAGATTATTTTCTTGCTCTTGGGTTCCTTCCATATTTTGAGTATTAACTCTTCATAAGATTTGCAATTTGCAACTATTTATTCCCATTCTGTGGATTATCTCTTTACTCTGCTGATTGTTTCTTTTGTAGTACAGAAAATTTTTAGCTTAATATCAACCAATTTCCTATTTTTAGTTTTGTTGCCTGTGCTTTTGGAATCATTTCCCAAAAAAGCATTGCCTAAATAAAGTTATGGAGATTTTCTTGTGTTTTTCCTCTTTTACTGTAGTATAACAGTGTTGAGTCTTAATGTTTAAGGCTTTAGTCCATTTTGAGTTAATGTTTGCATATGACTTGTGATGAGTCTAATTTTATTCTTCTGCAGGTGGATATCCAGTTGTCTCAACATCATTTATTGAAGAAACTGTGCTTTCCCCAATGTGTATTCTTGACATCTTGCCAAAAATCAGTTGACTGTAAATACACCAATTTGTTTTAGGTCTCTTTGTTTTTATGCTAGGGGACCTGGAATCTATATACACATGAGTCAGCCTGGAGGTTGGTTTTGTGGATGCTGGCCTGATAACTAGCACTGTGGATGCTAGCCTAGTGTCGAGGTGGGCTTGCAGCCTGAGTTTATAGGCTATGGAAGATTGTCTGTCATGGAGAAGAGCTTGAAGTCCCAGAGATACTGGTGTCAGCCTGGTGATGGTGTAGGCCCAGAGTCAACTGTGTAGGCCTAGAGCCCAAACCTGTGTGACCTAACCTAACACTAGGGAAGACCTAAAGACTTAGACCAGGAACACCAGCCTGGAGTCTAGGGCTATGGCACTGCCTAGCTTTGGATTTTACTGAGTGGGCCCAGTGTTAGGGTCTAATGCAAAATCCAGTCCTCTGTTCCTTAACCATTCTCCAAATGGGGAGTATATATTTTTGCCATCCTTCTGTGACCATGTGATTCCCACTGATACTGCAGAGAAGATAGTAGCCTTGTTATTATTGGGCATGGGTGGAAATCCTCACTTTACTCTGATACAGTCCTAGTGGGGAGGTAGAATGGTCACTCTATTACCACTGCATGAAGGTTCAAGTTTGGGGCTCCCGCTCGGTCTCCACTGATGTTACAGGAAGGGTGGGTATGCCTTATTGTTTCCTGAGTAAATGAATGTCT